CCTTCGGCAAACTCGTAATCCGAACCGGCGTTGGCTGTGCCATCCTCTGTGCGATAATCCACCTGGGAGCAGATGGAAGCGCGGAGAGATGAGGGGGTGGGGGGTGCAAGAATAAAGATAAAAGGTATGAGATGTGTGAAAAGGGCAGATTAACAGAAAGAGAGATCCCACCAGAGGACAGAGTGAGAAAACACGAGGAACCACCTCATTAAATCCAGCCCTATGGTCATTCAGTCAGCTAATAAAGACTTGGAAGCTACCGGAGAAAAACATCTCTAAACTCGCCCCTTTGTCTCCGTCCCTTCTATGAGGGCTGGTTAATTAACCCCATCCTTCTTGTCCTAAACTGAATTAACCAAAAGTCACAAACAGCCCCAGCATTTCTGATTCTGTTTGCAGGCAAAGCAGAATCATGAAGTCAGTCTCGCTGCCCTGAAAAATCTATCAGCCCTACTCTATTTTTAGCTCTTCATAAAATGTGCATGCGCTAACAGATCCGATGCCTAATTTCAGTGTGAAAACATTCATTCATACGCCTGATATTTTGGGTACGGCCCTCCGGCTGGGCCATATTTCTAATTTTCTAGACATGTAGCGCACTGATTTCATGAATTTTCCATGAAAATGTAAGAAATTCTTCTTCTTTTATTACAAAATTAAAGTTTCTTCTCCCTCCTTTGGAAAAAAGAAGCACTTTAAAGGACTGCTGATATGTTTGTTATGATTATTTCTTAAACTCTGGGTTCTGTAGCGTCTGGAGTCACTTTACAGATCTCATTACTGACGTTTAAAGGCTTTTTCACTAATCCATTATGGACGTGCAACAACAGACTCAGTTTGTGTAGGTACAAATGCTGGAGAGGGAGATCTGATGGGAATCAAACATAAGGAGCTCAGTCTTATGTTGGATTTGTTGTAGTACATTTTGTGGAAATGGTCCGCATCCCGAATCGGATTTTGAATGAACATCAGTTTGATCAGGTTCTTTTTAAAACACAGTTAAAGGTTTTGTCTTTACCTTGCTGACGTTTCGTTTGCCGACTGCAAAACTTCCTCAGAGCTGACGCTGATGGTGGCGTCACTTCCTTCTCCGTTTATCCGCGGGCATCAGAGGACGTTGTCGCCCTCTGCTGCCCGCTCTTCCCTCTCCGATGATGCAGTCCCATGCACGATCCAACGTGTAAACTCCATCGTCCCTGTTCATGGTCCCACATCCACATCTCCTTATCTCGATAGCTTCTTTTATCCATCTTTTGTATTTTTGTTGTTCGGTGTTTATGATCCTTGTGTTGTCCCAGTCCATTACATGGTTTTCTCTTGTGCAGTGATCTGTTACAGCTGACTTCTTTATTGTACTTTCTGCTTCTTGTTTTGCTGCTCTTGTGTGTCTTCGACTTGCCTCTTTCTCACACTCTTTTCTATTTTCTATTGTTCGTGTGTTGAGTTGGCGTCTGGTTTCTCCTATGTATGTTTTATTGCAGAGTTTGCATGGGATTTCGTAAATGGCTCCACATTTAAGTCCAGCTGATAGTTTGTCTTTTGGGTGTACTAGTCTGTTTCTAACTGTTGTGTATGGTTTTGTTGGTGTGTTTATGTTGTGTTTTTTCATTGTTGCTCTTATTTTTTCTGTTATGCCTTTGATGTATGGTAAGGTTATCTGTCAGACTGGTCGGCTGGATTCGGGAGTTGAGCTTGTAGAGAGCGTGGTTTCACAGACGCGGAAGTGATAGCGTCGGTGAAACGCCGGCTCACGATTTATCCCCAAGCGTTCGAGCGTCAATGAAGTGACACGGAAATGCTGGGTTTTCCAGAAGTAAGAACACTTACTGTGAGCGGATAGTTCGTAAGATGGATCGGTTGATTGGCAACTCTGATCATGGATCTGAAGAAACGATGACTGAGTGGTGAGCTGGGGAAGCGACTTCCGTATATATTCGCGGTTGGTGACGTAGGTGTGACGTGGAGGGAATCCCCTCGAGGGACATGCTGGGAGATGTGGTCTATGGTGGAGATCGGCTAGCTGGGAGAGGCTGGCTTGGGGACTTGGGTTCTGACATTATCACTGGTTTTGGTTCTTGTCTTTCAGGGTTTCTGGTTCTTTACTTTGGTTGTTTTTTTCTTTCTGTTGTTGTTTGTTGTTTTCCTTTGTTTATTGCCCATGTTGGGTATCCGCAGGTCATTAAAGCGTGTTGTATGTGTTTGTCTTCTTGTTTACGGTCTCTTTCTTCTGTTATCATGTTTTCTCGGTGATATAATGTTCTGATTACTGACATTTTGTGTATGGTGGGGTGTTCTGATGTCCATAATAGATATTGGTCTGTGTGTGTTGGTTTCCTGTATGTGTTTATGTTTAGGGTCCCGTCGGTCTGCCTGGTTATTTTCATGTCCATAAATGCTATGCTGCCTTCTGCTTCTATCTCATAAGTGAACTTTATGCTGCCTGTGTCGTCAATGTTATTCAAGTGTTGTGTTAGTGTTTCTGTTTGACCTTTTGGTATGATTTCCAGTATGTCATCCACGTAGCGTTTCCATAGTTTTATTTTGTAGTTTGGGGGGGGGCAGTGGCTATGGCTTTTTGTTCTAGGTCTTCCATGAAAACCTCACACAGGGTGGCTGATAATGGGTTACCCATGGCGAAGCCTTCCAGTTGTTTGTATATTGTGTTGTCGTAAGTGAAGTAAGTGGAGTTAGCTACCAGTCCTATCAGTTGTGCTATGTCATCTGCTGTGAGGTTTGTTCTTTTCTGTAAAGTCTTGTCCTGTCTGATTCTGTTAACTACTATGTCTATGTTTTTTTCTGGGTTGTGTCCTTGTGAACAGAGATGTGACGTCGTGTGAGATGAGCATGTCGTTGTCTTCTATTGTGATCTCCTTTAGTTCTTTTGCCAGCTATGTGCTGTTTTTACATGGTTGGTCTGTGTTTCCTAATAACGTGCTGATGATTTAGCTGATTTTTTTGCCATGTTGTATGTTGGTGTACCTACGCTATCAACTACTGGTCTAAGTGGTGTTTTGTTTGTGTATTTTTGGCGTTCCATAGATTCTTGGTGTTATGTTTGCTGTAGGAATCCAGTGTTTGTACATTTTTTCTGTTATTTTGCCATTTTCTTGTAGTGGCTTGAGTAATTTTTTCATATTTTTCTTAATGTTTTCTATTGGGTCTTTTTAAAATTTTCATATGTATTTTTGTCCTCTAGCATCTATTTCTAGCCTAGTGAACTAGACCAAATTCTTGCCTTGCAAAGTTTGGTCTAGGAACGCTCCACTGGAACCTCTGCAGCCCCTAACACCATTCTGGCTGGCAAATCACAACTCTCTAGAGGGGTTTCAAACACATTAAGGGCTGTGGTTGGTCCATAATGGTGGGCCAATCATAGTGCTCTATCTGCTTAGTGAACAAATCACAGAGCTTTATCTGCTTTGTGGGCCAATCAGGGCACTCTATATGCCTGGTGGGTGGGATGATGCAACAGAGTGAAACAAGATGGCGACAGCTTGTTTGAAATGGCTTTTACATCAATTTTGGACTATTAGAACTTGGGCTTCATTAGAATCAGGAGCAGATAGATGTATTTAAGAGCTTTTTGTTTTTTAGAAAAAATGTTTTTTCTCCTTCTTCAACTGCGGACCGCCTCATTTACCGATAGCTGTTGTGTCACATGTATGTCACATTCATTGTCCAGTAGCATGCGGAGATCATTTGAAAGACAACGGTAGAACCCGCCCCACAACCGAGAGCCGTCAATGGAGCGTTACCAGACTAAATAATACAATTAGCTTGCCAGGCTAATCTGTTTCATCTGTTGTTCATATTTTTCTTTGTCCATTACCACTGCGGTACTTCCTTTGTCCGCTGGCAGAATAACTATCTGTTCATTTTTGGATAAAGCTGTCATTGCTGATTGTTCTTCTTTTGTAATATTGCTGTGTTGAATTTTACTGTTGTTTAATATCCCAACTACATTATTTCTGAGTTCTGCTTTCTTTCCCTCATCTGTGATCTGTTGACATGCTAGTCCTCTTGCTACAACTTCATCATATGGTATTTTCTTTGGTGTTACTGCAAAGTTTAAACCTTTTTAATGCTTTCTTCTGCTTATCCTAGTCCATATTGTGAAATGTTACGTACCCATGAGCTTTGTGTGGTGTTATCTTGTTTTTTTTCTCTTTTTCTTGTTGATGAGTTTGTTGGATCGTGCATGGGACTGCATCATCGGAGAGGGGAGAGCAGGCAGCAGAGGGCGACAACGTCCTCTGCTGCCTGAGGAGAAATGGAGTAGGAAGTGACGCCACCATCAGCGTCAGCTCTGAGGACGTTTTGCAGTCGGCAAACAAAACTGTCAACAAACTAAAGAGAAACCTTTCCTGTGTTTTAAAAAGAACCAAAAATGGAATTAGAAACTAGACACAGTAAGAAAACACCAAAGATGATCAGCATTTGTTCAAAGCTGGCTGGCTGACAAGACCTTAAAAGGTCAAACTATGATGACAGTAAATTACCCGCACTTGTAACGCGCCTTTCAGGGTCAGACGACTCCAAAGTGCTTTACATTAAAGTATATCATTCACCCATTCACACACACATTCACACAATGATGGTGATGAGTGTAGCCACAGCTGCCCTGGGGCACACTGACAGAACTATTAACACCAGTTTTGCCACATGAATTTTGAAATTAATTTTCCCATCACATGTTAGTTTCTAGGTTTTTAGAGCTAAGGAGAAAGGACAGAATCCAACTGGGAATCTCAAATCCTTCATCTATTATTAAGGGCACATCCCCATGAATGATCAACAGAATAATCGCAAATTATGGAAAAGTTCAACGGAAGGGACAGTAAGGACGGTTTACTAAAGAACTATGTTTGGGGGCTTGTCCGGGATGGACCATAAGTCCATCCAATCTTAGATGTTGTTTAAGCTACTAGCCACTGAACTCAGAACTGACACACAGATACAGAAGAGTGTCATCAGCATAGAGGTGAAATAGAAGTCCACGTTTTGGATCACGCACCTAAAGAAACAACACATTCTCACAGCCGAAGCGGTTAAAACTGACGATGGGTGACAAAGTGTTTGTTTCTAACGCGTTGGAGCTCCCAATGTGTCGGGAGGCGCTGCGCGGTGCCAGAGCGTCGGTTTCCGAAGTCCGTGGGAAAACACGCATTTCACTGACAATTTACCTCTAACCCCTCACCCCCATCCTAAACCCAGTTTCTCATTCTAAACTTCTCGTTAACCATGTTTGAGATGGACGACACAACTAGACAACAAAGTTTTGCATGCGCGAGTGGGTTAAGGTTAGGATGGAGGTGAGGGGAACTTTAAATAGAAAGAGGGTAAAGGTCACAATTCGGTGAAATCTTCGTTTTATCGCGGGCATCGGAAAGTGATGCTGTGGCACAAGCGCGATACCGTGCTGTGCCCCCCGACACATTGAGGCTCCCAACGTGACGGAAACAAACGCTTGGTCACCCATCGTCAGTTTTAGCCGCTTCGGGTGTGAGAATGGGTTAAAAGAAAACAAATATTCATTCATCTGCTTAAATGCTTCTTCTTGTAAGGGTCACAGGGAGCTGCTGTCTATCTCAGCAAGTCACCGGGCATCCGTCTTTATCTGTGTCCATCAAAAAGACCTGCATGTTGTCAGACTATACAGAGAAAACCCTTGAGTGCATGGAGAAAATGTTATATCTCTGCACATAAAGGACACAACTGGGATGTGAACTTGTGACCCTCTTGCTGCAAGGCACCAATGCTACCAACTATTCCACCATGCAGCATAAAAAAAGAAAGGAAACTAATAAAGGGCAAACACAATTCAGCCTTGAGCCATCCTCTCAGGGATACAACTGAGAAACATCAACATCTGATATCACACAGTCCAGCAGATCCTTCTGCTAGACAGAAAAGATGAACAGATTATATTAACTGAGGTCAGAGCACATTCCCGCATTGGAAGCCATTAAAAGCTCATTAACCATCACATTAAAAACCTTTCTAGAATCGTTGTTTTGTTACAGAACTCCCAATTGAATCTGGAGTTCGGCACAAAATAATGGACAAACTGCAGAGTTTCAGTCATCTCAGCTGTCATTTCCTTTTGACTCAAACCCCTCAGTGCTCTGCTGATTGCCTCCAAATTTCCTACAAGAAGAAATCCACGTTCTCTCAATCCTCTCAAAAGCAAATAAATTCAGAGATTCATCAAAAAGGGTCAGACTGTAAGTTACAAAGCATGACTCTATGACTTCTATTTATTTGAAAGGAGGTGGGGAAGTGTGCCTCTGAGTCATAGAAGTGCACAGATCAGTTACCACCCTGCATGTAGACTCAGCAGGAGGTTCACGCCAACGTTAGGGTTAAGATCAATCACCTTTGCACTGAGACAGAACTTCCTTTGAGCTTCAAGCTCAGCTGAAAACTGAAAATCAAGAGAGGTGGCTCCCTCTTTTTGTCTCCCAGCTCGCTTGTATTCATCATCTCTCTTTCTCTCACAAGAGCATCAAGTCAGGAAAGAAAACAAGGATTCTCTCAAATCCCCTGGAGAGGAAAATATGTAGCGTGATGAATTGTCCATGCCTGACCTAAAGGCCCTGCTCTATTTGCGCTGTCCAAGCAAAACCATAAGTTTCTGACACAAGCCTAATCTACAGGAAATGGGCCAAGGCCACTCATGCTCTGTGCTCTTATCTAAACTGTTGCTTCCTCAGGCAGCACAAGAAAGAAGAAAGAAGACGAAGAACTCTATTAAATAATAATTAAATCACTTTGTTAGTCCAAATAATCATGTAAAGCTCAAGGTTCAATCAATCTGTGAAATGAGAATATTAATTACTTGATATTATAATCCTATGATGGTATTTTAATAAGTAATATAACTTTAAATATTTACACTAGACTGATCACACATAATGCTAAAGTCACATGACACATTTCCTTTTTCTGATCCAATCAGAACCTTCCAGATCTGACGCGGGGCATGGTTTTGTTGGTGCTTGGTAAATCCCCTTTTGTTGTCAAATTCTGATTCGACAGTAAATCAAAACATCCAAATTATAAAACTATGCCCCACGTCATCTTAACTAGAGTTCCAAGCGTTCTAGAGAAGTTATCGGCGCTGCCAATCCGTAACTTTTCTCTTAAAGCCGAAAGAACCTAACGACAAGCTGGATTAAATCTGTTGCATGTTCCACCTGCTGCAACGGTTCCTTCAGAATAAAAGCTGAACCATCACGACCCCTTCAGGGTCTCGCTGATGCCAATAAACTGTCGTGACCTGGGAGTAACTCAAGACTGGAAGGGTCGGCAACCGCTGCATATCTACAGGCGTCATTTCCAAGAGGGTCCAAGCTGGACCCCTGACATTCCGGATCTAAACGGGGACTTCCGTTGGGGTACATAGACCGACAGATGGCGTCTCAATGTGCGTGATAATCTCCAAACCAAAGCTTGGAGTGAAACACCCTTTCACTCCCACTCAGAACTAATAGTCTCTCCAGATTTGCTGGTTCTGAACATATTTCACACCTACACCATCCTCAGTCTTACTCTACCTTAGTTCATCATCACATAGTGTTTACAGTTAGTCTTGTTTAACTTGTTTAGAAATAAATCTTCTTAAACTTTAAAACTTGTCTCTCTCTTTTGACTCTGGGTTAATACGAAGTGTTATCTAATCCCTGCAATAAAGAGTTCCGATCTTCTGCTTAAAATAATATTCAAAGATCCACCAAATTGATTTCATATTTCCTGTGGAATCTCACATTTATGGGTCATTACTTAAGATGTAACTAACGAATCGTTACACATGTTATGAGAAATAAAAGATCCAAAGAAAAGTGCTTAGAATATGATGGTTTTTCTACTCGTCTGCTGTCATGGCCCCATTGTGTCGCTGAGCTCCTCCCATGTGGGCGACGGTGGCACAGGAGTTAAGTGCTCGCCCCGTAATCGGAAGGTTGCAGGTTCGAGCCCTGCTCAGTCTGTCGCTGTCCTTGTGTCCTTGGGCAAGACACTTAATCCACGTTGCCTGCTGGTGGTGGCCGGAGGGACCGGTGCCGCCAGTGCTCGGCAGCCTCGCCTCTGTCAGTGCGCCCCAGGGCAGCTGTGGCTACATTGTAGCTCGTCACCACCAGTTTGTGAATGTGTGTGTGAATGGGTGAATGACTGATTGTGTTGTAAAGCGCCTTGAGGGATTCCAGGACTCTAGAAGGCGCTATATCAAAATACAGGCCATTTACCATAGAAACACATTTTAATCCCAGTCCATCTCATTTGTTCACACCTTGACAGTAAATCTGGGGTCTCCTCCACGCCTGGCTATGGTCAGATTCAAGGAGCCGCAGTTTTCAAAGCACTGGTACAACGGGGGTTCGAACTCTATCCTGATGGTGTTGGGGTCGTCCTCCTGAGCCTGAGTATCATGGCTGGTCACCACCTGGAGAAAAACCCAGGAAAATATAACGCTGACGTGTCACCTCAGGGCTGTAAATGTCAGTCTGAACGGAGGTAAAAGTTCAGCTCACCTTGCGCGCCTGGTCGGCAGCATGCTTCTTCAGGATGTTGCCGGCTCCGATCATCATCCTGGTTGCCTGGATACGATAGAACGCTCTGCTCTTTTGCTGCTGCATCAGGACCTGATTATGAGGAACATCACTGATTAAACAGGTTTATATGAGAGAAAGGGCTGAAAGGGCTTCTTTAAACTAAAGAGCAGAACACCACATAAAGACTTAGACTTTGTTTCTGGCTCTTGGATCTTCAGATCAATGATGCTTATCAGTCTGTTAGTAATGGTTTCAGAGAAAGTGTAAGGCTGAACAGTAATCTTAATGACCCACCAAATTGAAAATGAACAAACTGGCTGTTGCAGCAGTCGAGATCATTAGATTAAATGTGGCTTGGCTGGGAATGATGTCATTTTTTTAAATGTAAGGGAGGAGACCGTAGCAGCAGAGGCAGCGGAAACGGAGATCTTTGTTTTCCATAAAAATGAGCTTTCGGTGAAAGAATCATGACCATAAAACGTTTGATTCATCAAAGTCTGGTTTAGTTTGCAGGTCAGCATGGATTCTAGCTCAACTCGAAAAGAAAAAGTTATTTTGTGTTTTATGGTTCTGGTGGTAGGAAATGTTTAGTTTTAAATTGTCTTTGTAAGATGAGTTTAGTACCTTAAAACCCTATATAGACTATTTCTGTCCTTAAAGCTTTCAGTCGGAGCAATAGGACTAGTACCTTCATCAGAAAGCTGCCATGGCCAGTCTGCTGCCCTCTAGGGGAGAATCTACAGGTGGCGAGGGCCAATTGTTTGTCTTAACTTTTTTTTAACAAAAATTTAAATAAAAGACAACACATTTCAGATTATTATTATTAATTTTGTTATGATTATAATAATAATAATAATAATTATTATTATTATTATTATTATTATTATTATTATTATTATTATTATTATTATTATTATTATTTTATGAATTTTATTATTACTATTATTATTATTATTACTACTACTATTATTATTATTATTGTTGTTGTTTTTAGATTAATTAATGGACAATAAATAGCTAATTAATGATGTAATATCTACATTTTTGCTTGTGTGTTTCCTATTTAGATAACACTTCTTATGGTTTTTGTAAAGGAAAAAGCAAGAATTTGATATATTTACCTTCCAAACATGACAAAAACAAGCAGAAATGTAGATATTACATCATTAATTAGCTATTTATTGTCCATTAATTAATCTAATAATAATAACAATAACAATTCATGTTCGGAAGGTAAATATATCAAATTCTTGCTTTTTCCTTTACAAAAACCACAAGAAGTGTTACCTAAATAGGAAACACACACATACCTCACACTACCTTAAAACATCATTGATGACAGGTTTTTATTATCTAGTCGACTTTCACAACTCCCTGGACAAATTAAAAGAAACCACAGGGAAATGATGGATTACCGAACGCAACGAGAATGGTCTTAAAGCAGGAAGCTGGTATCTAACTCAGTGAGAGACTGTCTCAGTCCATCACAGGGACACAGAGACACAACCACTCACACGCTCCCTCACACCTAGGGGCATTTTAGAGTCTTCCATCAGCCCGAAAGGCATGTTTTTGGTGTATGGGAGGAAGCTGTAGTGCCATAAGGTCACCCAAGCACTCGTGGGGAGAACGTGCAAACTCCATGGAGAAAGGACAACGAAGCTACCAAATGCAGTCTGATCTAAAACGAGCTTTTTTAGAGCTTAGCCCTAACCTATGGGATCCCTCATCAAACCATACAAAGTTCCATTTGGTGGAACTCTTCCATTTAGGACAAGGAAAGGACTGGGTTTCAAACACAACTTTATTTGTTACTGACGTCCAACAACCCTGGTGTTTTACCTGATAATTCGCCATCTCAATAAGCTGCTCCTTGTCCTTGTCTGGATATCTCTGCTTCAGCTCCTTTAGTGTTCTTGCCATATCCCTCCTGGCCTCGTCTTCTTCATCCTTCATTACCCCCTCCCCCATCATCCCCCCGTCTATCCCGCTGTGGCAGTTCAGCGCCATCTGCCCGTCCAGCTCCATCATGTCCATTTTGGTGAAACCGCCCGGACCGAGCGCTCCTCCAATCTCCGCTGCCCCGATCTCTCCGTCGGCACCTCCTTCCGTTTCGATGATGATGCCGTGGCTCTTGTTGGCACGGTAACGCTTCTGGACGTAGTTCCAGAAGAAAAGGCGTCGGTCAGCTACCCAGGCTTGGACCACACAGAAGGGGAAGCAGAGGAATGTGAGCACGGCCTCCCAAACCTACAGGAGGGATAGGACAGAGTTAAAGGTGCTTCCGCCTTGGTTCTGTTCTGAGTCCGAACTCGTCCTCACCTCCACCTCTCCTGGGGAGAAGACACTCAAAATCATGTAGAGCCAGATGTAGGCAAAGACACTCCACGCTGCTGTGACAAAAAACACCCGAAGGTGTTTGATTTTCCTCGTCTCTCCATCGGGAACCACGTAAACGCAGAGGGCGATGATGACGAACATGTTGAAGGCGGCGCTGCCGACGATGGTACTGGGGCCCAGAGAGCCGGCCTGGAAATTGTGACCGCACACCTGCAGAAGGGTCACATCAGTTAACCCCAACCCCACCATCATTCACATGAACTGATTTGGGCTCAGACCACACTTACCTCAATAACGGAGAGCAGGATCTCTGGGGCGCTGGAGCCCAGCGCCATCAGAGTGAGATTAGAGACGGTTTCGTTCCAGATTCGGACCGTGGCCGTGGTGGTCTCACCGTTGGGCTTTCTAATGGTGATCTCCTTCTCCTGGGACGTTATGACCTGCAGAGGACAGGACCTCATGTCAAACCGGTGTGAGTGAAGGAGCACAAACAAGTGATGACTGATGTACCTCTATGGATGACATGAACCGGTCTGCTATGATGCTCATGCCCAGGAACATGTATACGAGTGCCACAAAGTACACAATAGCCCGCGCCACCTTATCTCCCACTGAGGGGTTCTCAGGGTTCCATACAGGAAGTACGACTCCTGAAATGAAAAAATAAAAGCGTGAACATTATTTATAACATCAAGAGATGACAACAGCTAGATTGGGTTGTAACCTTTCTGAGCTCTCTTTTTAAAACCACCCACTAATCTTCTCGCAGTCACTCCATAAGTCAGCCTCTTGTTGCTCGTCAGGCGAGGCAAACCAGATGCGTGGGCGTGCTGCGGTTATTCCGATGGCTTTGTTCATCAGCCTCTAGGGAATCTGATGAGATGCTCCAGGAACTCTCAGTGGAGCCGCTTGTTGCTGAAAGTGCTTTGTAGTGTTTGTTCACTTTGCATCCATCTGATCCGCAACAACACAAATGACTTCTGTAGGCCAGACATCGGGACTTGAACGGAAAATGAGCAGAAAAGCAGCTAAATGTGCACAGAAATTAGAAGGCCCTGCTGTTTCTGATGTGATTAGTCCAACTCAGAAATGAGATTTGGGATCTGAGCAGGATGTCCGTGCCATTTCTGCAGGATTTTCCTGTCCTGCTCATTGATGAAGCTAGCTAGCATCTTAACAGTATTCCATGCATCTGCAACACTTCTCTGTTCACAAATAAAGGCAGTGCAGAACTGCATCTGCTACTGAGGCTGTGAGATGCAAGCAAAAGGAAGAGCTAAGCAGCGGCCATGTTGGATTTGGATGTCGGAGTTGGCAGTGGCGGATTTAGCAATTTGGGGGCCCAAGGCGAACACAGACGTGGGGCCCCCTTACACTAAATTTTCGACAATCTTATATTTAACTGGATTTGTGAAACTGTCCCCTCTTCTGACACGAGTTATTTTCCCTTTTTATTAGACCTCTTCTTTTTTCCTGTCTTTCTCTCCCTTTGAGTGGTTTCAATATTTGCTCTTCTTTTTGCTTCCTGTCAGTGCTCCTGTGCTTTTGCCTTTCTTTTTTTTTTCATTTTCGATTTTGGTCTATGTTTTCCTCGCTTTGAACATTTTCCATTGTCTTTCCTTTTCTGCTTCCTTTTGATGTTTACATAGAAAAACAACGTCACTTTCGGAAGTGAAGATTAACGCTTTTTTAAAGCAAGCTGCTTCTTTCTCTTGTTGGAGCCATTAGGATAACTCCATTTCATGCTTAATGTTTTGACTACCGCTTCGAGTTTGTTACGAAAGCTCCCGCCTCTCTTCTTCTTTTTTTGTGGTCTTGTGGCACTTGGCAAACAAGTATTTGGTGCATTACTGCCACCAACTGGATTGGAGTGGAATGACTGCTAATCACTTCCTGTTTGTGCAATAGGAATAGTCCATTGTGGCATCAACAGAAAGGTGCCAGCAGTCAGGGTTAGGGGCCCCCCCCCCAACAGAAGGGGGCCCCAGGTGGCTGCCGACCTATGCCTAATGGTAAAACCGACACTGGGAGTTGGTGAGAAACCGAGTTTCAATCAAAGAATGCCTGCTTTGGGAAATTCTAGTGAAAGCTTCAGTTTGCACCGGGGAAACAAATAAAAGGGAATAACTCTTCTGGGAGAAAAACAAATTCAAACGTGAGCCCTTTATATTGGAGTAATACTCAGACTGGGGCTCCTGCAAGCAGGGAGACCATTTCCCTTCAGACTTTTTCATGAGAGAACACCTGCAGCAGGCAGGCCTGTTCTCAGTAACAGAGAGCATCAGCTGCAGGTGTCAGACAGGATCAGCCCCTGGAGGAGGACCCACAGGTAAAAGAGGAGAGGAGATCTCTCCAATGTCAGTCCACTTATTTTAGTCTGAAAACAAGAAAATGTTATATGCAGAATAGCGATGGGTACCGAATTCAGTACTTTTTAAGGTACCGACCAAATTCCATAGTACCGAATGAGCACCGATTCACGTCATTTGAAACGGTGCCTCGTTTCGGTACCCGTCCTTCATAACGAGAACTTGCCTAGACAGCTGCGCATGCGCAAGAGCGTTATGTCGGCGGTCGCTGCGAGCCAGTTGAAAACAGAGCAGCATGGTAGAAAGAACGCACGCTAAAGCTTGGGTCCACTTCACTAAATGTGATGGGTAACTGGGTGATGATGAAACCAGCGACAACGATCTAAGTGAGACATCCTCATCTTAATCTGCTCCGGTAGGTAAATAAAATTGTTAAGATAATGTTAGCTTGATATGTTAGCTTCCGTTTCGCTAATGGTGCGTTCGCTTTCTCCTCGGAACTCTGAATTTCCGACTAGAAGAACATGAACGCGCTCTAAAGTTTGGCTTCTCTTTACTAAATGCGACAGGTGATTGGGTGAAGATGAAACCAGCGAGAACGATCTAAATGTGAGGCATCATCGTTTTAATCTGCTCCAGCAGCTAAATAAACTGTTTAAGATAACGTTAGCTTGATATGTTAGCTTCCATTGTCACCATTGTTATCAGCTAATGGTGCGTTCGCTTTCTCCTCGGAACTCCGAATTCCCGACTAGAAGAACATGAACGCGCTCTAAAGTTTGGCTACACTTTACTAAATGTGACGGGTGATTGGGTGAAGATGAAACCAGTGACAACGATCTAAGTGTGAGGCATCATCGTTTTAATCTGCTCCAGCAGCTAAATAAACTGTTTAAGATAACGTTAGCTTTATATGTTAGCTTCCATTGTCACCATTGTTATCAGCTAATGGTGCGTTCGCTTTCTCCTCGGAAATTCTAACTTCCCAATAGGAAAAATCAAAAGAAAAAGACGGCAAAAGGAATGAAGATACACAGTAAATTTAGTTCACAGTAAAGATGTTTGCTTCAGTTTAATTATCAGCTTATAAAACTACAAGGACGATGTTAAAATACAAACAGTTGTATGTTATTTATCGTGATATTTATCAAATATTGTTATAAATTGAGAAAAATATATATTTAATTATAAAAGAGAATTAAAATATTAAACACTCAAAAGTATTGAAAAATGGTACCGTTAAGTACCGGTATCGATTCCTAGGTACCGGCAATTAGTACCGAATCGATTTAAATGTAAAGGTACCCATCCCTAGTGCAGAAACAGCATTACATATCCTTAAAGAGACAGTGTGTCGTTTTTTACCATTCATTTTTGGAAATATCCACCAAAAGGTTGTTTAAAATGAATTAAAGGACACACAGTGGGTGAAAAACATTGGTGGCTTCATAACATAAGCACAAAATCAGGTCTAAAATACAAGGGAGTGGGTTTAAGTCTCTGGGCGAAGCCATGTTAGATGCCATGTTTCCTTCTACGGGAGCCTGTGAGGTTAAAATGCATTTACTGATTCAAAACAAACGGTTACAAAACTTTTGTCATTCTTAAATAATGTTGTTTTACACATTTACTCCTTCACTTGTTGCCAGTGATGATGTTCCGGTTATTTTGATCAAGTTTGCACTCCGCGAGGATTTTTGGCCCTGATGGGCATCCGTTGGTAAGGTCTTACTCCAACACAAAATACCGCCTGTTTGCAATGATTTTGGCGTCTACTGCCCACTATCGCCAGGAAAAACACACTGTCACTTTAAATATGATCAAATGTACTTGTTTTGAGTAAAAGAAATCTGCCACAGAGGTGAGAAAAAGGTGCTTGGAAATCTGAAAACTAGTAAAATTATCCACCTTAATTAGCAAGTTCTAAGAATTTTAACCAAGAAACTTTTTTTACGTCCGTCAGATTTTTTTTTTACAGTTAAATTGGATCATATTTAGGAATATTTACTTTATCTGAAGTAGTGCTGTTTTTCATTTTAGACTAAAAATATATTCAGTATCTCAAAATTGAGGATTTTTTACTTTCTGGAAATTCAGTTTTAGCAGGAACCTGGAAGCTGATCTCTGATTAACCAGAGAGAGGGTCTCTTCTGGGCATTGAGATTGTCCTGAGAGCCTGAGCAGGTGTTATGGGACGAAGTCTCTTAGAATAAACTGATGTATTCTAACTGAAAGACACTGCAGGTTAAAGAGGTTCTCTAGCTCCTTATTCCATATTCTTCCGGCTCTTGGAGGGAGCAGACACTTTTCTTCTCCTCTCCTCCATATCTTATCCTCAAGGCCGTTGTCTGTCTGTGTGTGCTGGGTGCACGGCTGCTGCTGCATTTTTCTGGAAACTGAAATTCACTAAAATGGATCTCGTCAGTTGGTCTCTAAACGCGATTGATAAAATTTTTTCAACGATGAGAACGGAAGAAGGGGCTCCCGGATGCCCCTCCAGTACAGACCAGCTGTCTGTGGAGGACTCTGAAGACGTGTGGATATTCGTGGTGTTGGTGTCGGGTTTCCTGCTCATTGGCCTTGGAGGCTACCTGGCTTACCGGAAAATTAACGAGCTGTCGAGGAATATTGGCCGGATCCCGAAGCTCAGAGATGGTTTGCACCGCGCTGTGAATTCACAGACTTACATAATTGTCGAGATGAATCATAAGCTTGGGACTTTGGCGGAGATTCATTCATTGGCACAAAAGATGGATACCATCAAGGAGAGAGTGGGCAAATCAGCACAGACTGGGATAGATTTATGTCCATTATTGGGATTTTGAGAGGTTGAGGACCAACAAACTGTAATACAGAGAGGAAATTATCTCTGCCTGGCCCCAAAACAATTTCTAATTGGAATCTGGCGTCCTTGAGCCTGCAAGGCTCCAACGAAAATTCCCCCCTCAGAAGATATGTGGAATGTGCCGTCGCTATGGCAACTCAACTCTGTCTCCTATCCCAGCCTGGGCGGGACAGCGGGAAGGCCGCTGAAACGGTCCAGGGTCACTGCAACCCTCCAACCCTCAATGCTCCTTCCCCCCTATCCACACTGAGGTGACATGTGCTGCTTCATCGTGGCTACAGGAACTGGAGTAGGGATAGTTCCAACCCACCACCCCACCTAGGGGACACTTATGTTGTGTTGTCTGAAGTCTGTTGCATATCTGTCTGCGGTTTCTTTTTGCAGAGCAAAGCTGCCCTCCCAGTGGAGGGTAACTCTGAAGTGCCTCTTTTTTTCAGGTAACCCTCTGATCTCTATTAAGGTAGCGCGACTCAGGGTTGCGAATGACCACAGTCACCAATTCTTGTCATGTGTCTTGCCCATGCACAGTGGGGCAAAAAAGTATTTAGTCAGCCACCGATTGTGCAAGTTCTCCCACTTAAAATGATGACACAGGTCAGTAATTTACATCATAGGTACATTTGAACTGTGAGAGACAGAATGTGAAAAAAAATCCATGAATTCACATGGCAGGATTTTTAAAGAATTTATTTGTAAATCAGGGTGGAAAATAAGGAAAATCTCTGTCTCTCACAGACCTGTAACATTTTCTTTAAGAAGCTTTTCTGTCCTCCACTCGTTACCTGTATTAATGGCACCTGTTTGAACTCATTATCTGTATAAAAGACACCCGTCCACAGCCTCAAACAGTCAGACTCCAAACTCCACTATGGCTAAGACCAAAGAGCTTTCGAAGGACACCAGGAAAAGAATTGTAGACCTGCACCAGACTGGGAAGAGTGAATCTACAATAGGCAAGCAGCTTGGTGTGAAAAAAATCAACTGTGGGAGCAATTATCAGAAAATGGAAGACATACAAGACCACTGATAATCTCCCTCGATCTGGGGCTCCACGCAATATCTCATCCCATGGGGTCAAGATGATCATGAGAACGGTGAGCAAGAATCCCAGAACCACACGGGAGCACCTGGTGAACGACCTGCAGAGAGCTGGGACCACAGTAACAAAGGTCACCATCAGTAGCACACTACAACGGCAGGGAATCAAATCCTGCAGTGCCAGACGTGTTCCCCTGCTGAAGCCAGTGCATGTCCAGGTCCGTCTGAAGTTTGCCGGAGAGCACATGGATGATACAGCAGAGGATTGGGAGAATGTCATGTGGTCAGATGAAACCAAAGTAGAACTCTGGTATAAACTCAACCCGTCGTGTTTGGAGGAAGAAGAATACGGAGTTGCATCCCAAGAACACCATACCTACTGTGAAGCATGGGGGTGGGAACATCATGCTTTGGGGCTGTTTTTCTACTAAGGGGACAGGACGACTGATCCGTGTTAAGGACAGAATGAATGGGGCCATGTATCGTGAGATTCTGAGCCAAAACCTCCTTCCATCAGTGAGAGCTTTTAAGATGAAACATGACTGGGTCTTCCAACACGACAATGATCCCAAACACACCACCCGGGCAACAAAGGAGTGGCTCCGTAAGAAGCATTTGAAAGTCCTGGAGTGGCCTAGCCAGTCTCCAGACCTCAACCCCATAGAAAACCTGTGGACGGAGTTGAAAGTCCGTGTTGCTCGGCGACAGCCCCAAAACATCACTGCTCTCGAGAAGATCTGCATGGAGGAATGGGCCAAAATACCAGCTACTGTGTGTGCAAACCTGGTAAAGACCTATAGTAATCGTTTGACCTCTGTTATTGCCAACAAAGGTTATATTACAAAGTAATGAGTTGAATTTTTGTTATTGACCAAATACTTATTTTCCACCCTGATTTACAAATAAATTCTTTAAAACTCCTCCCATGTGAATTCATGTTTTTTTTTTTCACATTCTGTCTCTCACAGTTGAAGTGTACCTATGATGAAAATTACTAACCTCTGTCATCATTTTTAGTGGGAGAAGTTGCACAATCGGTGGCTGACTAAATACTTTTTGCCCCACTGTATGTCTGATCTCTGAATTGTGTGTACTGGAACCCTAATTTCACTCTGGGATTAATAAAGTGTCTTTGACTGTTTGATTGATTGATTCAGCCTGTAGATTTTTCTCTCATACAACTGACAATTCACAACCTTCAAGTTCAAACATTAAAACAACAGTTGCAAAGCTAATTTAACTGAAATTTGGACTTTAATCACATAAAAATGGCATTACTATTCAACAGCAACATTAACTGGATCCACAATTTGTGCAGGAAAGCCAAGAGTGACACTAAATGTGTGACTTGATCGTCCAACCCACCGTCTTGACAAGGATCTCCGCTTGCTGAACAGTTCTCTGAAGAACTCGCCTGGGCTGACGGAGAACAGGACAACAGAAGGAGGAAGGAGAGGAGGATGAAGAGGGGGGAAGAGGAGGAGAACGATGAAGGCTCAGGCATGAGTGATGAAGCCATTTCAAATGATGCAGCTTGGCCTTTGATGAGTTCTACTGGATCGGCTCAGTCGGCTGAACCTGCAGGTGGACACAGAGAGGAGAGGTTCAGGAACATTGATGCTTTTGTCACGCTCTTACTAGAAAAAACCCCAGTTAATAAAAGCAACTCTCCTGGAAAGAATGAAGGAGGAATGGGATTTGAGACACACTCAAGGACACGAGGTTAAAATAAAGCAATGAAGTCAATAAAGCGGGTCATAGCATGGAAGAAACCAAGAGAACGATTCTTTAGAGTTGCAGTAAATGATGTCAGACCTGCACTGAACTACTGTGACAAATTCACAAATTACAGCCTAATGCTGGAGGTCGTCTGGAGCAACCATCACCCCGGGCTTTCACTGTAATTAATAGAGACATTTTTATTAAACTGGGTGAAAAGACCATCAGAAATAACATAAATAAACCAGTATTTTCTTTTTATTTAGATTCATAGGAGCTGGACCTTCTTATTACAGCCTCAGTCTTCTGCTGGGGGACTTCGATGCTCACGTGGGCAACGACAGTGAGAGGTGTGGTGGAGGAACGGCCCCCCTGATCTGAATCTGAGCGGCGTTTTGTTACTGGACTCATAATGAACACCATGTTCACATATAAAGGTGTCCAAATGTGCTCTTGGCACCAGGATTGCTCAGGCCGCAGCCTGATGGACGACTTTTTTGTCGTCTCGTCTCATCTGCGGCTGCATGTCTTGGACACTTGGGTGAAGAGAAGGGCGGAGCTGTCAGCTGACCACTACGTGGTGGTGAGATGGCTTCGATGGTGGGGAGGAAGCCGGTCAGACCTGGCAGGCCCTAACAAATTGTGAGGGTCTGTTGGGAACGTCTGGTGGAGTCTCCTGTTAGAGGGAAGCATTGAGTCCGAGTGGGCCAACCAGAGCTGCAGCCACAGGGTTGTCGGTGCCTGTCATGGTGGCAACCCACGAACCCGCTGGTGGACACTAACAGTTAGGGATGCTTTTAAGCTGAAGAAAGAGTCCTATGGGGCTCCAGAGTCAGACGATGGGTACCTGCAGGTCAAGTGGATTGCGGCATGCCAAGGCAAAAACCCAGGCGTGGGAGGAGTTCGAGGAGATTCTGGTCAACCATCCGGCATCTCAGGAGGGGAAATCAGTGCTCCAGTCAGGACGGTGTGCTGCTGACCTCTACTTAGGACGTTGTGGATCAGTGGGCAGAGTACTTTGAAGACCTCCTCAATCTCACTGGCACGTCTTTCTGTGGGATTGGGTTCTCCAATCTCTAGTGCTGAGGTCACTGAAGGGGTCAAAAAGCTCCCTGGTGGCAGAGCCCAGGGGTGGATGAGATCCGCCCAGAGTGTCTTAAGGCTCTGGATGTTGTAGGGCTGTGTTGGCTGACTGCCATATCGCTTGGACATCCGGGGCAGTGGCCAGTTCCACTGAAATGGCAGACCGTGGTGGTGGTTCCCCTATTTAAAAAGGGGGACCGCAGGGTGTGTTCCAACTACAGGGGGATCACACTCCTGAGCCTCCCCGGTAAGGTCTATTAAGAGGTTCTGGAGAGGAGGGTCCGATAGATTGCTGAACCTCAAATTCAGGAGGAACAATGTGGTTTTTGTCCTGGTCGTGGAACGCTGGACCAGCTCTATACCTGAGATCTGACAGAGATCCTCATCTGTGCCCCAGACAAGCTGGTTCCCAAAGTCAGAGACTTTCTTGGTCAGCTTGCTTCTCACACCAAACCTTCTGTCAGGAATCTTGGCGTGACCTTTGACCCAGCTCTCACCCTGGATTCTCATGTCAGTTCTCTTGTTCGCTCTTCCTTCTTCCATCTCAGGAACGTTGCTAAGCTGAGTCCCATTCTGTCTCGCTCTGAACTTGAGACAGTTCTCCACACCTTCATCTCCTCACGCTTAGACTACTGTAACTCTCTTTTCACGTGTCTGAGCAGAACCTCCCTGAACCGTCTACAGGTGGTTCAGAATGCCTGTGCTCGGCTTCTGACCAAGTCCTCCAAACACACCCACATCACCCCGCTTCTCCTCCAGCTTCACTGGCTGCCAGTCAACTTCAGGGTTCATTTCAAGATCCTGGTTCTGGTCTATAGGGCCTTACATGGACAAGCACCATCTTACATTGGTGATCTTCTTAGTTCCTACACCCCCAGCAGGTCCCTGAGGTCCAGTGATCAAAGCAGGATATGGAGTCTTGGAGTTGTTAGTAGTTTTGATATTCAGACATCTCGCCTCTGATAGGCTAACAGCAACATGACTCTACCACTGACTTGCAACATTGATGGTGTATCTCCACAAATAACACAAGTCTGGAGGAGTTCTACAATGTGGTGGAGATGCTAACGCTAATGGTTAGCTTTTACTAGCCAAGACGTTCTCTGCGGTTTCCTGGACGCTAAACCAACAACAGCCTTCCCCGTCGTGAGTCAAAATGGGTGAGTCCATGAATGTTACTTTACCGTGTGTTCGGCTTTTCTAATCCAAGCACACCCCTGTCTGTTTCCTATCAGAAGCTAATGCAGGAAGCAGGCGTAGGAGACTATCTCCACATTGAGCCTGCATGAAAAACTCAGAGACTGATCGTTTTTCAAACAGAACATTGGACCAAGAATGACTTTTCATTCACTTCCTGTCTTTCTTCCTGATCTCAACAGTAGACCGTGAGCTGAGACAAGAGGGAGGCTATCGAGGGTGGTCCAAACAGACATGTCAAGAATAAAAGGAGAAAGTTGTCTTTTAGCAAATGAAGCAGAACCTGATAAATGCATCATCCTTCAGCCAGGAAACCATCTTGTCATTGGGTTATATGTTTAGTACTTTTCCTGAGTAGTAGCGTATCATCAGCTACCAGTGTGACGTTGTGTGTTTGCGGTATGTTGTTGTTTATGGTCGACCCCTTCACTCAGATATATAGAAAACTTGTTTTTGTCTGGATAAAAAGAACCACCGCCTGAGAAAGTAAACAGAACTCTCTTAGATGTGTTTTGGTGGGACTGAGCACATTTTTAAAGGGGAGGTCAAAGCTAACCCACATCTTAACAGTGAGAGCACAGAGAGAAAGTTTCAAAGGAGTTTTCAAATTGATCTTTCAATATTTCAACCTTTCCCCGGTGGAGATAACAGCCTTGGATGTCTCACGTGTGGGTTTTCACACTTGGGTGACTGATGTGTTCTGTGTGCAGGCAGCTGTGAACACTTTAGAGGCTTTGGAGAAGAACTAACGCAACAACGTTAGCACGTAATAAACATCAAACTCACCACGCAACCATGAAATACACTTTTCCAAAGGTTTCGTCTGTTTTTGTGGTGCTGAAATAGCTGATTTTGTTTTGTCACACACACACACACACAAGTCCGTTAGTCATCTGTCATGACATTAGCATCGAGCTGCTGACCCATGTCCTCGTCTGCTTTCCAAGGGTCTCATTGCTCAGACAACCTGTCACTTCAGCATTGGAGTCAGTTCCCTCCTCACTCATCACTCCTCTTCATCACCCCACCCCACCCCCCCCCCCCCATTCCCCACCCCCACCACCCCAAAGCTCATCTGTTTCCTCCTCCTCAGTCCTTCCAGTTTCTCCATTTACATGCTCCTATGCCTTACAAGCACACTCCAAACCCACCCTCTCAGGCCAAATCAATAATTTTTAAACAGCATTCAGTTATGAGAAACAATGTGTATTTAATAGTAAACAAGTTAAAGGGGCATTATGGAAGTTTGACAGCCAAAACACATATAGAAATAATAAATGTCTTCTTCATACATTCTCCTGCAATGCCCTGGTCCTGTAGAATGAGCCCTGGCATTTTTACTGTGATTGCCTGTTTTTCTGTAAAATCACAGAAAAAGAGAGATGCTCGGGTCGAGCAGGCTGCTTCATGCGCGTTCACGCTCAGGCATCGCCCTCCGAACCGTTCTTTGAATGTTGTTTCAGCTGTCATCAAGGATATAAATGTTACAGATACAGAAGATGTCACTGGAGCTATAGCTCACCTAGTAACACCTGGGGCTGTTGTGTAGGAGACCTGGGTTCGATTCTGGATGTGAATATAGTTGTTTTAGAGTTTATATTTTACATTAATGGTATATTTTTTTACAGTAAGATGCCCAAATTTTTATTTGAGACTCGCCGAACGGCATTGAATTCACAGATAAAAAGGTGTGGGTTCAACTTTCATTTTGGAACAATTTTTCAAGCAAGGGAAGGGAATGATCTGAGCATGCAGGAGGACTGACCCATCATAAACCTTTGTCGGCTGTGCTGAAGAGAAAGGTACAGAACCACATTATTTAATTAATTAGCTGCGCGTTCTCCTGTCCTCTGTCCTCCAGGCCACACACACACACACACAAGGGACTGTCTCAGTTGTTATTTTCGTTAAGGAGTGTGCACGTACAGCATGCGCGCCTCGTGCACGAGCCTACTATTGAAGCTGCCGTTACGCTTTTGGCCTGAGGGGGCAATCACAAGCATAAAAATCCCAAACTCCGTAAAGTCCCTTTAAATGAATTAATAAAGAAAAGAAATAAAAGAAAGATGATATCCAACCAAAAAGAGTGGTTAAGACAGAATAAACAGATTATTGTACTGTAAAGCTCCATCTGATTGTCCGTCTCATCCTTCAGAGCTTATGCTATCTCTTCTTTGAGCTGAGGCTTTAGTTTTGGCGGCTCACTTAAGTAGAGCGTTTTAACCATTTACAAGCATGCATGAAAGAAAGATGCCTCATTATAAATGTAAGTGAAAAGTTAAGCAGATTAGAGGTTGTTCTGATGTCGTACCGGAAGCCAATTAGAGAAAATTCTTATTTTTGTGGAGATGTTTGAGGACTGAAAGCTCAAGCCAATGAGGAAGTTGTAAAAACTGCAGTTCTGTGTATCTTGGAAGTTAATCAGAGTCAAAAGCCACACTGAAGTCTTAGATATGAAATAAAGGTGGAACAGGAGGCGCCACTTCCTTCTGGTGTTGAAAAATGAAGCTACAACATACAGTTTAAAGGAGCAGCCATGATTTATTTCAGGAGCCACTCGTGATGTGGGACTGAAGGTT